TAATACTTATGCTAATACTAATGCTGATACTAATGCTGATACTAATGCTAAAATTAACGCTAGTGTTAATACTAACGCTAATGCTAATACTAATGTCAATGCCAATGCTAATACTAATGTCAATGCCAGAGAGAATGCCAACAGATCAGTGTATCCGCCAGTCGGTCACTTCCAACGCGAGCCATCCAAATTTTTTGTCGTGTTTCTTTTGGGTTTTCGCCATTTACACTTGAGCGAAGGGTGCGAATTTTGTCACTCCGTTAACGTCAAGGCCATGAATACATCAGCTGAAGATGCCGCGGATGCGGCTGAGCGCAGTTGCTCTCCCCGTGTGTGTGTATGTGTGTGAGGGGGCGTGGCTAAGTGGCAGGAGCTGATTCAGTGTATGGGGCATACGAATGAACAGTTGAATGCTGGCTCTGGCTGCCTTTGCGGATTCTTTGGCTGCTTCTTCTTCCTGCCCATGTTGTTGTTGTTGTTGTCAGCATTTGAACCCAAAAATATTTCACACCTATGTGGCCGTAGAGCAGTGTGTGTGTGTGGCAAGTGGCAGTTGCTGCTGCTGCTACTTCTGTTGCTCGTTTGGCTGTCACTTTGGCTCGTTGAAATTCATTAGGTAAAGCGGGGCGTGGCGGCGGGCGGACAGGCGGATGCAGAGCCAACGGCACATGCAACATGGCAGGCAAGGCACGAGACAATGGCAGCCGTGACAAACGTAACGGAAGACGCCACAGACAGAGAGACAAAGGCAGAGAGAAAGAGAGAGAGAGGGAGACAGGGCTACTCCTGTGACAGTGGCATGTCTAAATGTCGACGACAGGCCATTTTCTATAACTTATCTGATTTTAATTGCTTCAAACATGTGCGTGCACGCTCATTGTCTGGCAATGAGTGTCCGTGTGCGCGTGTGTGTGTGTGTGTGTTGCCTGCTTTCTGGCGCATCCTTTTTTTGCTGTCGCTGTCAACATTATTTCACGTTGAGCGTTTCGTCGCCAATTCGCCGAACAGTGCTGCCACTTGGCAGACAAGTTGATGACCCACGCCCACTCCGCCCCCGCATAGTGGCCTTCCTGCTGCCACCCGCTGATTTCACTATGCACGTCCACCACGTACTATGTCCCATGTGTGCGTCTCCCCCCACCCCCCACCCACCACTCACTCACTCTCACTCGCTCGCTCGCTCACTGTGTGCGTATGTTTATCTCGCTGTCTTTTTATGAGCTTTGTCGGGCTTTGATGTTAATTACCCTGTAACAACGACGACGTCCTTAGCGCTAAAGTATCACCTTCCCTCTCTCTCTCTCTCACACACACACATTGGATCTCGCTCAATGCGAGACGCTGGCAAATTTTTGCCCTGACGCTTGGTAAACAAAATAGCAGTAGTCGCCGCTGGCAGCGCTGCTGCTGCTGTTGTTGCTGCTGTTGTGTGTGTCGCTCGGTGGCCGAGATTATCTCCAAGGACCTATAAATCCAGTCATTAAAGTCAAAGTCACAAGACGTTGCCGGCTTATCAGCGTCGGGAGCGGCTTTCGGGCATCGCCCTCTCGCTCTCACTCCTGTACATGCTGCGCTTTATAATAAAATTAAGCTAAAAATACACACCAACCCACACACACACACACATACACATAAGCAGCGCTGCTTGTCTAGTTTCTGTTTTGTTTTTCTTTTCGTTTTGCTTCGTGCTTTTTTTTTCTCCTTTTTTTTCGCTGTAGCTTTTGGCTATGTTTTTATTGCACGCATGTAGTTGGCACTCTGCGGTGTTGTTGTCTGTTGTCTGCTTAAGCAGCGTTGCCAGATGTTTTTCTCTTTTTGCTTTTCGGCAAATGTGCATACGTGCCTGCCGTCCTTCACCCGTCGCCGTCGCCATCGCCGTCGCTGCCACCCGCTGCGCTTTCTCTGTCGCTGTTTAAAGCTAAAAATTAAGCCATAAAGCAGCTGCTTAACGTTTAAATGAGTGTTTGCCTTGAAAATTGCAGCAATTTAAAATGTCGTCAAGTAATTTAGAGTGAAATGTATTTAATACAAGCTATCCATGCATATATACATAGATAATGCATACATACATACATACATACATATATGAAATATATCTAACATGCTATATTCAATTGGATTTGCTTTGAGTATCAGTTGCCCATCTCTCGTATAACATGTCAAACAAATCCAACTCAAATAAACTTGTCAAAGAAAAATATGTTGTATATGTGTACAATATACATACTTACACACATATGTATGTACATACGTATGTATGTATGCATATAAATTCACTTCACATTTGCTTCTTCTTGTTTTTGCTCTAATTCGATTTCTGATCTCTGGCATTTCGATTATGTCAGCTACAATCGCAGCCTTAAATCACAATCAGCCAAATTTGTTGAAGGGCAAACGAGGGCAATTGACAGCTAGATATGCTGAGAGGGAGTGAGAAAGAGAGAGAGTGGAGGGCTTTGCCAGGCAAAGTGGACTAACACACACACACACACACACACACTGGCAGCGCTTAACCCACCGAGGACCCGCTACCGTTAGTATCGGCGGACTCTATTAAAAATGCTTACAAATGCGCTTATCATTCGAATGTGCTGCAAATAAATCTCCATATGTGAGTTGACAGGCCTTCGCCCGGCTGGCTTCCCCGCTGTTTAACTGTAAAGGCGCCTGCTACAGCGTGCGCTACAGCGCTGCCATATCGCGATTGGCCAGAAAACGGCTAACTTTCAAATAAGAAAGCAATCAAGCAAGCTGAATCGAATAATACTGTTACACATTTTTTTAAAATATATATGTACATATATTTTTAAGTATATTGTAATTTTCTCAAATGTATTTTCAAATAATAAAAATTAAAAATATTTTTAAATTATTAATACTAATTTTATTTTATTTTCTTTTTTTTTTTCTTTTGTGTTTTAATGACTCTTAAATAAGTTGGCTGTTTTAAGAACAAAACTAATTTTACTCTACAAAATGCTAAAAACACTAGATTTCGAGCTACAGCTCCTATTGCGGCACACAATAGCCAGCTGAAATTTAGCTATAAAGGAAGCCAACATGTTTGCACTATGCATCGAGTCTTGATGCCGTTATTTATTTGTTTTGTTTTTTGCTGTGGGGTAAGTAGTGTTTGAAAGATTTTAGCTGTAGCTGTAGCTGTCGCTTAAAAGCCATAAATAACTCATGCCTTGTTGCCAATATCGGCTGCTGTCGATAGTTATCGGCACCCAAAAGTCAAGCCCAAACCCCACGAATTGGTCAGCAACAGCAGCAGCAGCAGCAGCAGCTGGCAGAAGTCACAGAGTAGACAGAAAAAATGCTTTAAGACGCAGCATAAAGAAAGGCAGTGAAAGAGGACGAGAGTGAGAGAGCGCCTGCAAAAAGCGAGTGTGGGGAGTGTGAGTGTGTGAGTGTGAGTAGTGCGAGTGTGTGATTGTGTGTGTGCTGGCTGGGGTTAGCGAGTTGCGATTGTGATTTTCACTAATTTTGCTCATGTTGCCTGTCAAATTGGATGCCATGTGTGGGTGTCATTAATGTCAGCGCCCAAAACTCCCCGCCGCAGCCAAAAAAGACAAAAGGCGACACAGAAAGGCACTAACAGTGTGTGTGTGTCTGTTAGACAGTTGCAGACATAGAGACGACTCATTAATGCCACTCATCAAAACTATAACTAATGTCGTCGTCGCAGGGCGACAGCAGGCACATGAATATCCAGGCAAAGGCTATAAATTGAGGGTGTGTGTGCTTGTGTGTCCCTCTGCGTATGTGTGTATGTGTGTGAGAGTGTGCTGATGGCATTTGTCGCCTGTCGATGTCCTTTTGTCGGCTGGCATTTAGCTATATTCGCTTAAATTGCTGCTAATTTTGTTTATCGCAGGACAATTATCCAAGCGAACGAACTGACAAATGAGCCATACGCACACACATGTGTGTCTATGTGTGTGTGTGCGCGTGTGTGTGTACGTTTATGTGCTGCAGACTGCAGCTTTAAAGTGCTCTCAAGCTCTTGGTTAGCTTTATGGCTCTGATTTTAATAGCTAAACGCAATACAAACACAAATACAAATACACACTCACACACATAGTAGTAGTAGCAGCAGCAGCAGCTCGCACACGTTCGCATCTTTATCCAATTATGAATTTTTTGTCATTATGCCGCGTCCATGGCAATGCCCAAGCCACGCCCACAGCCAGCGCTGCCCATCCTAGCCCCCTCTCAACGCGACAGCAACAACAACAAAAAACTGAACGAAAATCTCATTATGATTTCATTTCGTTCAAATGAAGCGCTGCGTGCGGCCAACTGGGGCTCAGGGTGGGGGGTCAGCCGAGCGCTGCGTCCAGGTGGACTGGTGGGCAGGATAGCTGGGCCGGCTCATGGCATGTGTTGTGTCCCTGCAATTGGCGCTATGGGCCAGTTCGCTGCAACCAAAATCAACAAAGAGACACAAAAAGAAAACTGAAAAAAAAAACTTGACTTTGCCCTCTGTATAGGTGTGTGAGTGTCCCGTTATGTCCCGTTGCTGCCGTGGACAACGGGATAAGGCGATAAATTTATTTTAAAATAAAATTTACTTGCCCACTGCTGTTGCTCGTTACAAATACCCTGGAAGCTTAGACAAGGCAATGGCTTGGCCAACCTTTATATTAAATATGTACAAATATCAAATGGTAATATAATAACAATTTGTGAAAGTATTCCAACTTTAGCTGCTATCGATAATTAGGCTATCGCCCCAAATCGAAGGTCGCTGATGAAAAATCAAAGTAAGCTTTGGTTTTCACGCAGATCTAGGGCTTCGCATTTTTCAAATTTGGCATTGTTCTCTCACCTTTTCAACATTTCACTTGTGTTTGAACAATTGAAAAATTAAATCTAAAATCGTTACAAGACTTTCGAAGCTAACGGCTTAAATATACTGGTACTTACGAACATTTGTAGATTTGCATATTAATTATATACGTACATATGTTTAGGTATATAATATATTTGCATAAATGGACCATAACCAGAAAGAGGTCAAATCAGCTGAGCAATTGGAGGAGGCGAAGCTAATGGCCAAAAAGTATCCAAAGGGCTTACCCAAACCTGAATCCATATTTCTGCAGAAGCGCATGAAGAAGGGTCAAAAATATTTCGATTCGGGTGATTACCAGATGGCCAAACAGAATCCAGCCAAGCCGATGCAGGTGGATAAAGAGATTACCGGAAGTCTTATTCCAACGCCCGAATCTGTGTCAAAGCTCAAATGTTCCTTGACCAAAACTTCGAATTTGGCTAAGAAATAGACGTATACACATACATATGCGCATATGCCAGTTATTTTGCATATGTACGTATACGTATATAGATAACGTTGTGGTGCCATTATCAATTTAATATAGTTAATTTCATTAGGAAAGCTAAATTATTGTCACTACTCTATGTTCGTGTATATATTTATAAGTATTTAACTGTCCGCAATGTACATTTATATATTTGTATGCTTATATAGTTCGGTTTCAATATAAATTATTTTGAGATATCTTTATTTCAACTAACAACTATATGTTTTCCTTTTGCTGTAAAACTTTACGAGGTTTAAGCGAATGCCTTGCATCACTTGTGATTATTTATAGAAATATAATTTCATATTTAACTAAATATTTATAAAATATATTCATATATATATATTTAAATGGGTGTTAAAATATATATATATAGATATATATACATATTTATCAATTTGCAGTTTCACATATATTTTCATTTTAATTATTTTACAGGGCATTACAGTGTCTATGCTGTCATAACAAATGCATTTAAATTTGTACCGTTCCTTTTCTCTTCTCTCATTTCTGCTCTGTGCTTATTGTTGTTGGTCCTGTTTAATTTTGTTTGCCTGCCTGCCGTGCTCGCTGTCCCTCTTTGTGGCTGTTGTTGTTGTTGTTGTTGTTGTTGAGCTGCTCTTTAAATATGTGTTGCTGCTGTTGCTGTGATTGCCTTGCCTTGCCTTCGCTGGCTTTACCTTAACGGTAAAAAGATGTGCTGTGCCGCTTTTGTTATTATTATTGCTGTTGCTGTTGCTGCTTCTGTCGCTGTTGTTGTTGTTGTTGTTGCAGCCGTTGTCCTGTCGTATTTAAATTAAAATGTTATTTATGTCAGCTGTTTGATTTCTTAACTTGCCCAGCGCCCTGCCCCAACCTGCCACAACCCTGCGGCACATTATATATTTTTTTCTCCATCTTCATCTTCATCTCGTTCTCACCCTCCCTCCTTCTGTTTCTTTTGTGTATTAGAAAAATCGCCAGCAACAACAAAATAAGCTGCTTAGTTAGTGTTAAACGGCTGGTAGGGCAAGTGGTGCTGCGAGGCAGGGTGAGCGCTTGTGGAAGGGGCAGAATAATGGGGAAGGGGCCGGAAGCAGAGAGTTCTGCTGTGCTCGGCTTTGTTGCTGCAACTCCCATTGCAGCCGGAGAATCATTTGCTAACAAATCTGCAGCACACATTTCATTGCACTAGCTGTGTGTGTGTGTGTCTGTGTATGTCTGTTTGTGTGTATGCGTGTGTTTTTGCGCCTTTCGTTTCCTGCTCAACATTTGGCAACTTTGTCAACTTTAATGCGGACACAAAAAGAAAGAAAGAGAAATGTAGCATACATATAAAAGCTCACATACAAATGCATCTGTATGCATGTATGTAATTATGTATGCTTAAAGATCATGCAAACATGCCGTATGTTTGGGGATATGCATTTACATATGCATTTATACATGCATACATGTGTATACTCTTCTATAGACATACATACATATGTATGTATGTAATTCTATCTATGTACATACTATGTATAGTAGTTCGAGTTGGCTTTCAACCAATGCCATGCTAAGGTCAACCTCTATATGGTAATAGCCTTAATAAGTGATTATTAGATCTTACACTTTATATGTAGATATACATATGTATGTATGTATGTATGTACAATTTTTTACAGACTTATTTACACTTATGTATATACACAAATTTTATATAGACTCAAATGTAAAAAAGAATTTCTATTAGAAATATTTACATATACAACTACATATGTATGTATATGTATGTCTATAAGTATACATATACATACATATATTTACATATAAACCTTTTAAACAAAACTTTTGCTGTAGCTCTAAGCTAAAACTTGACTGTCTGCTCCTCTGACCATCCTTACATATTACTACGATTCCTGCACATCTTTACATACATACATATGTACATACATATATACATATCTATCTATATCTACATATATACATATATCTATTGTACATTTCTCTCAGTTATTTGCTTCAACAATTTTTGGTTCAGCAATTTTTTGCGATTTTATTCCATTTGTTGTTATATTTTGTTTTTATTGTTTTGTTGTTTTGATGCTGCCTTCTTCTGCACTGCTCTGTTCTTCTTCTTCCTCTTCTTCTTCTTGATATTTTATTGTATTTGATTTGTTGTCTCGCTCTTATGCCTTGTTATTTTTGTTTTTTTGTTTTTTTTTTTCGTTTCGCTTGAAGCTCGTTTGCCATCTCTGTTGCCCTCTTCCTCGCACCATGTACCGTTTTATTTCCAGTTGCTGTTGCTTTGCTTTACTATTTCTCTGCTGCTGCCGCTGCTGCTGCTTCTTCTTCGTGTGTTGTTTTTTTTTTTCTTCGTCTGATTGCGATTGTCACTGCGAGCCACGACTCCGACACATGTGCAGCTGCCTACGTCTGTGTGCGTGTGTGTGTGCCTGGCACTTGCTTCTGATTGGACACAACACACACGCACACAGACACAAAACAGTTGCGACACATGCACACACACACACAAACACATGCATAGCGAGCGTAAGCGCTTGGCCATTTCGTCGTAGGCTCCACCCACCGCACATAGCGGAACATGTACACAAACACATACACACCCGCATGTGTGTGTGTGTATATATATGTTATTTTAGGTATATATAAGCCAAATATGTATATACACTCCCACTGACAGCTTGTCGCCCACACAATGGTCATATGTGCGCGCCTCTGTGTGTATGCATGCATGTGTGTGTGTGTGTGTGTGTGTGTGTTTGGTTAGCTGCGTCAATAGAACAGATAAATCGATTTCATTTTGGTGCTCAGCTTTCCGTTAGCTTCTGCTGCTTCGTCTTGTTGTTGTTGCATTTGAAGCTGCAAAAATTTTACCATTGCATAACTCTAGGCGCTGTCTCTCACGCTCCATCTCTCTCTCTCTCGCTCTCTCGCTCTCTGTGTGGCCAGCCACGCCCACCTTTGGGCTATGCCCACTAATTTAGCATTCCGTTGCCACAGTCAAGTGAAGCACAAACACGAAGCATGCAGCTTAATGCGATCAAAGCATCTTAGCCGAAAGTACACTGAGAAAAAAAAAAGCATTGTCGTATCGGTATACGAGCTATATTTCGGTTTGATACCGATTGAAAAGAGCTACATTTATGTAGCTCAGTGTATATGGGAAATTTGTTTTGCCTTTGGAGACGTGTTCAGTTGCTGAAAGAGCTTTGCGGATTTCATTCTATCCGTTTGTCTATTTATCCGCTTATATACCTATCTACTCGGCCGTCTATCTATTCAACGATTCTTCTGTGCCCTTACCTGTCTATTTATCTGTATTTCTGCTTCTGCTTCTGCGGTCTGTCCGTCTATCCTTTCTTCCATCCGCCTGTCTCTCCGTGCTTGTATCCATCTGTCCGCTCGTACATTTGCTCGTTTGTCTATGCGTCTTTCCGTTCTTTAGTTTGCCTGAGAGTACGTCTAAGGTCCCGTTGGATTATCCGTCCGTCTTAGCTCCTGCCGGACTATCCATCCATCTGTTTGTTTGGCAATCCTTGCTTCCGTCTATCCGTCCGGCACTTTGCCCGGCTGCCCGTATTTTTGATCCTCCGTCTGACCGTTTGCGTCTCTTTATCCATTCTTTCGTCCATCCGTCTAGTTGCCCGTATTTCTGACCGTCTATCCGACGCTTTGTATTTGTTTTTCTCTACATTCATCCGTCCATCCACCTGTCCGTCCGTCTGTCGATCTGCCTGTCTTCTTTGAAATCTATGCAAGCTTATTGCTAGATAATTTCTCTCAGTGCATTTGGCAGCTGTGACCAGATAATACCGGCAAAGAAACTTCAAAAGCGCACGGAAATGATTTCATTACCAGACACGTTCCAGCCGCATCACGTGGCCAGCGAAAGGCGTCTAAAACAAGGCGCAATGGGCGTGGCTGGTAGAGGGCATAGCAGATGGGAGGGCGGGGGTTCGTTGGCTGTAAAGTGTGTGCGAAAACTCTTAACGTGAGCGTCACGTACGCAGCGCGCTTTTATTAAGCTGCACGAGAGAGGGAGAGAGAGGGGGAGGGAGAGCGTTAGGCATTGATTACCAATTCAGCGGTCATCTAATCACGGCTCGGCCAGGTTGCCGAACGTGCCACATGGGGCATGAGCCAAAAAATGCGTCAGCTAATTAAAACGTACTAAAGCAGACGCTGACGTGTCCTCGCCTCTCCCCCCCTCTCTCTCTCTCTCTCCATCTCTCCCTCTCTCTCTCTCTCTCTCGCTGTATGTGGCATACTTTCAGCTGGCGCAATTTATGAACCATAATTTCTATAAGCCAAACAACCCCCGCACTTAACTTTCCCCCTTTATTTAGCTCGCGCCCCTCTCGTACTCCCCCCCCATCCTTCTCCTCTCTCACTCACTCTGTTCGGAGACTAAAGCGACAAATGCGCCAGCAATTTAGTTAATTGCCTGCAATTATCCTAATGAGCGCCTTGCCTGAGCGCCAATGTCAGCTTCAACGACTAACGCCCCGTCCCGCCCCGCCAACCACCCACCCTCCGTTCGCACTTTCATAAATTGTCGCGTATAAAGAGTCGTATATCTTTTGGCAAGGCCAACTTATTGTATTTATGACCCGATGGCGCATCGCCAAGCAGTTCACAATTAGCCCAGTTCCCAGCGGATCTGAACTGAGCATCCATTATCTAACACCCGCCGCGTATGTGTGTGAAGATGTAGAGCTACTTGTCGAGCTTCTAAACTCCCAGTTAGCAGCAGCTAGATCCTGAGACTCGGGTTTTCTCTCTCTCTGGTTGACTGGGGAGTCTTTGAAGCTTAAGTCTCAGCCAGGGGAAGTCTTAAAGCTGGGATTGAGTTTCTAGAGACTTTACCATACACTTCTCATATAGGAACTTTAACTAAACTGAGAATTCAAAGCGAGTCTTAAAAACGAGAATTTTCTACTAAATGAATCCAAGTTAATTCAGTTATTTGAGGGAAAGGAAACTCTGTAACTCTGTAACTCTCTCATTCCTTAGACTGGTGGTTCAATGTCTGTTTTCTAACTGAAGTCAAAATGAAACTAATTAGATCCTA